TTTTTTTTAAAAAATGATATTTAAATATACAGTGACGATTAGACTCATTAGACAATAATTGACGGTAAAACAGATGATTTAAGCGAAAGACAGACATTAAAGAACTAATTTATTTGTAGTTTATAGTCAGCGAAGTGTTTGATGGTGAACGTCGAGGCGATATAGTCATCAGTATTAAAGTAATAAATAATAAGTCAAATAAATGTTTAAATGTTACTTATAAGATTAGTAAAAGGTGTTTACATAACTTGTAGGCTTACATTTATTTATTCTACTTCTTTTTCTTTCTATTTTTCGCACTCTTGTTATTTTTTATTGGCATTTGTAACTCAATGGTATATGGTGACGTCATTTATAAGAAAAGCAGTTGCAGTAAGACAACTGGAATAGGTTACATACACTGGGAGTTGTTAGTCTTTATTAGTTAGTTAGGGTAATGTCATCTATTATTTATTTTGAAGGAAAATTACACTTAAATGGCTTTTTTAATTGCAGTAGTTCTTAGAATCAAGACGTTTTAGGTAGAAGCTGTTTGAGAAGTTTTATCAACAAAGAAGGGACTTAGCCAGTTTACCGATAATTTTCAACAAAAATAACTACGTAGAAGAAAACAAAGAAATATTTTTGAATTCAGTAGTCAAATCTTGTTACTCTTTGAAACAGCACTACTGGATCCTCAAATCTGAAACTGGTTGAAATTAAACTTTTTATTCAAATTATTAATTTGAAAGAATTCAAAAATTATTTGGCAAAAATCACAAAATTGGTAATATCAATTTTGAGCAAATACCTATGGACGAGGTTAAATAAGGTTGGCTATACTTTAATAGTTTTTGACATCAAAAATTTTTTTGTTGACTTTTATGGCAATAAATTTATTAACAAATATTTTATTGCTTAAAATCAAGGCGTAAGAGTTTGTTGTTTGCCAAACTTTTTTTTTCATCGTTTTGTTGACACTGTCTTTTTGGTGCGGAAAAAAAGAAATGTTTTATAGCAGAAAAAATTTTAAAGAGTAGTGCTTATTGTCTTAAGAATTAATTAATAGTTTATTGCTTTTTTCTTAAGCAACAAAAATTCAATGTTATGGTATTATTAATCGCGTTTTCTGATTACTGTACTTTTGCTGTATTCTGTGAGAGGTTAAAAGCACAGCATTTTTGCATAAAGGTTGATATCGTTGATTTTTGATGCTCTGTCACGGTCAATTTTTTTAGTATGGCTAGTTTGTACCCGACTTTGGAGGATATGGTGATCGACCAGTATCAGTCGGTAAGTGTGCAGTTCTCGTTTCATTTGAAATCTTTCTTTTCCATTTTTCTACCTAAATTTATAACAACCGTTTCTCTTAAACAATGCAACA